ACGCGAATTACGTAAGGATGCCTAAAACTAAGGAGTGTACTAAGGGTTAATAGGTAAAATAGGTTTTATTACATAATAATATAGTTTTTGTTTTATTTCTTAGATTCACTACGCACATACACAGCACATGAATATTTTAAATATTTCACATATACGGTATAAAAATGAGATTTTTATTGTAGATATTGCAAATTGTGGCTTTTTATCACTTTAAATCGTATAATTCTGTCATTTTCGTGTTACTTCGCATTCTTAATATGAGAAAAGTAAGATAAATTATACTTAAATTACATATCTTTAAATGTATGTGCGTGCTATTTAGTATTTATACGTATTATTTTATTTAATCGGAATTATTTCATAATTTAAAATAAATTTTTGCATTTATCTTTTATTTAAAGGATGTATAACATATTACTAATCTTTATTTAATTGTAAATTACAAAAAAGAGTAAAAAAGAGTAAATAAAAATTGAGATATAATGTCAAAAGCACTTCACGTGAGCAATTATGTGAGAAAAATCACGCTAATAAAAACCTCTTTTACTTCTTGCCTTTTATCAGCACATTATAATTGATACGAAATATTTAAAATTATAAAATGAATGTAAAATATTTCTTAGTGTATCACAATATATTATAATTACGATATTAAACGGCTCGCGCCGCTAAAACTAGATATAAGAAATTGTTTTATTAATCAAAGAACATAAAAAATGTAAAGAATATATTATTTTACTTATTCGTAATATTCATTATTATTTCGACGGTTAGAGACGGTTGGCGCGCGACCTTGAGGTGGGGATGGCACGGGGTGGCACGGAGCGGCGCGTCATGTTTATGCGTAGTTACCGTGCAGTCATTCCCTTACTGAAGCTCGTATAGACAGGTAGCTGTGTCGCGTGCCGCTCTTCTTTACATTCCTTTTTGAAACATAATCGCAAAAAATGCTAAATATAATACGAAACTTTATGAATAATTAATCATACTAGTAATCGTATTATGTGAATATTCATAAAATACAATTTTCGTATTATATCTAGCATTTTTCGCGCTTATATTTTCCAAAAAGAAATGTGAAGAAGAGCGGCTACTTATCTGTAAATCTCACGAACGGTGTCACAAATCATAAAAAAGCAATGTTAATTTGAATACTCTCATGCAAATAACGCAATTCCTTTCACAATTAATGTAAGTTTAATAGTTTAATTAATTTTTTGTTTTTGTGCACCTTTCGTTATATGATCCGTTTAAAAATGAATTGTAACTTTGTAGCAATTTATCAGTAATAAAAGAAACATTTCTTTTTTTTTATTAATCTCTAGCCTACTTCATTCTAGACTTTAATCATATCTTACAGACATCATCTATGTATAAAAGATTCAGCCTTTTATCTGCTCTTTATTTCGCAATGATAACGAATTGCAGACGTGATATCCATTTCTAAAAGTTAACCGATTGCATAGTAATATAGATAACAGCTATTAGATTTTTCAGATTATCTTCCCTCTCACGGGTACACCTTGACGTGATGAGAGGGCTTAGTATCCAGAGGATGGGTATACGAAAAGAACGTTTTTCTCAAGTATCTAAAAATTTTCAAATAAATCTGTAATATATCTAGATAAATTTTTAGATATTGAGTAAAATCATTCTCTTCATGTAAAAATCCAATGGGGAAGCTAACGTACCCTCGCCGCCGATTTAAAAATGAACGAACCGCAGCCGGTTCGTCGCGTCGCGCGTTTCGGGAGTGCCGTTCAAGTTATTGGACTCAAGTTATAGTCCGCGCGCGATTATATTTTATTATTCGCGAGTGTTTTACGCGAGTGTCCTGTGCGAGATGTTAATCACATTCTGAGAGGAGGAGGAGAAGAGACATCAGGCACCGGTGGAGCAACCTTGAGGTAAATATTATTTTTTAGTTGTGTAAAATTAACCTTTTTCTGTTTGTTTTCATTTAATTTAGATATTGATTTAAAAATGATTATTTTAAATTTAATTATTGTTAAATAAAATGATTTAAATAATTATATATTCTATAAAATAATTATATAACATAATTATATATATTCTTTAAAGTAATTATATATATTCTCTAAAATAATTATGCATATATTTCAAAAATAATTATGTATATATTTTTTAAAGATCTTAGGCAAAAATAAATTTGTATAAAATTTTAAAGTAATGTAAATAATACTTTAAGATTTTATACAAATTTATTTTTGCTAATATCTTCTTTTGAAAAAATATATTATTTTTGAAAAAATATATAATTAATTTAGAGAATATACATATAATTGTTTTATATCTAATTAAATAATGAGTACAAAATTCGATGCTTACAAAAATTATATTTTCAAAATTGCATAATTATTTTTTCAGCAAACTGCATGCGTTCACATATAGCAATTATTTTTTAAAATAATAATTATTTTTTTATTCTGTTTTAATTTAGATTTTAATTTATTTGTTACAGAATCATCGTAGCAACGTTGCAGATATAACTCCACTGTTGCGCAATGGGTCGGTGAGTAATGAATCAATCATTTTTATTGGGATAACGGATATATGATAATTTTATATATTATGTATATACATGAATACATATACAATATACGGATAAATTATGTATAGCATTGCATACATCCGTTTCCTTAAAAAAACAGTAAAACTGATTAAGATAAATTTAGTTATGAATGCTTGATTCTTTGGCGAATTTTATGGATCCATCAAATTTTTAAAAATTGGCGTTAGAAAATAGAAAAATTTTAAAAAACTTGAAGGGGAAATTAAGCGGCGATAAGAATTTTTTTTAATTTTTTCAGAATTTTTTAATACTATATTTTCTCATATTGTTAAAAATGAGAAAATGCAATACTAAAAAAGTTGATAAAAAATTCTGAAAAAATTCGTAGAATTCTATGAAAAGAAAATAAACAATTTTCATTTCTTGCTATTTTTCTTAAAGTTGATATTTGAGTAAAAAATTGTTAAACCAACATTCTTCAAATTTGAGTAATATTGTTAATTATTGTGAAACTTGCAAAACGGTGGAGAACTTTTCGACACAATCAGTTTAGTCCATTCTGTCGCTATGCAAGAATTTTATCGTTAATTATCACCTTATATTTTATATATATGTTATCTAAGAAATGTATACCAGTTATTTTGAAATCAAAATTTTTTTTAATAACTTTTTTAATTGTTTAAAAGGATTTACATAATGATTAGATATGATATAATGATTTAACAAGAGTTTTAAACTATTTTTAATTCGAATGATATATTTATTTTATTAGAAACTTTTGGAAATATTTTATGACAATAAAGTGTAATTTTGCAATAAAGTGTAATTTTAATATTATACTTAAAATTGTAAAAATATATCAATCAAATATATTATTCCACTAAAAAAAATAAAATTATTATTAAGAAAAATGATTTAAAACTTTTGTCCAAATCATTATAAAGATCTTCTTAAACAAAATAGTTTTTATTCAAAAAAGTTTTTTATATAATTCTATTATTTTTAAAATTATTGAGTGTATATACTTAAATTAAACATAATATATGTGTATATTCTTCTGAGAGCAATGAAGTATTCGAGTTAATTGTAGAAATGGATGATTAATATTAGATACAAAATATATTTATGTATCTGACAATAATATTTTCCATCTCTCCCTCTTTTCTTTCAATCCATTTTCTCGTTTTTGGTAATATAATAATGAATATTTTTTCTATAATATAATCTTTCTTTGACTTTCTACAAGGCCAGCATAGAAATCACACTAGATAGTGGTGAAACTTAGTTTTCGGAAATGTCGAACAATGATTTCCGTAATTGAACGCAATCTTCGTCGTTATATATGTACATTGGTAAAAGTAAAGAGGCTCATTTAAATTCTTCACGAGTATTAAATAGTCATAATATAAATCCTCTATAGATATCTAACAGTAGGTACAAGTATATAAGATGTTTCCGAAAATATTCCAACTTACATATTCCACTATCAAAATGTTACTTTTTTGATAATATGTATACCAATTTAGACTCAATAGACGCGTCGATCTTTCCAGTATTCTTTAGTTTATCAGCCGTTTATTTTCTTGCAAATCTAATTGAATCATGAATATTTGACCGATTCTATCGCGAATCTGTATTGAATACAACATCAACGATTAAAAAAACAATCCGTCAATATTTTAGAATTTAAACGAGAAATTTAATTTTATACATTATTTTCAATTTAATGTATTTAGAACTAATATATTTTTCCTCTTTCCGGAATAATTTTAACGTATTCATATATGATATATAATTCTTATATCTTTTCTTTTCTAGAATAATATATCTCGTTACTGAAAAATGTCCACAAGCCTTTGAATCTTTGTACAATGACATATACAAAAGCTTATTTAAATAGTGCTATATGAGTATTAGTTGCCGTTTCAATTAATTTATAGATAATGTGAAAGCATAAAAACAGCATAGATTCAGAATATATTATTCCTATCCAGTCTTCTAGTGCTATAAGAGAAAATACTATTTTATTATAACATAAATTCATTCGAAATACTATGACTTTAGTATCTTCAATTATATTTTTCATTTTTCTTATTTTGGTATTTTTATTTTCATTCAAGAAAGAAATCAATAGTTAAATTATCGGTACTACAGCGACAATAGTCTCTCTTTCTTTTTTCTTTCTCTCAAACGTTCCTTTCAGTAGTATATAAAGTGTTGTTAGTACAATCAATCATGTTATATAAGCAGTAAATTTTACGTATTCTCAAAAGAGTAATTCGAGGCGATATCGCAGAGGCAGTGATAAATGTGATGTTTTATCAAAATAAAAACGATAGTTCTATTTTTTCCCCGATAAAAATATTTGACGAAACAAAATTTGTAGTTTCCTTTCAATCTCTAAAAATAATATGGAAAACGGGAAAATAAGGAAAACGAGGGAAATAAAAAAAAGAAAAACTGTGAATTTTACTACATTAAACTTTGGTATTATATGTGAGTGAACGTTGTTGTTCCTCCTCTTTGTGCCAGTTTGCTTAACGCCTTCAAGTGTCTGTCCTATATTAACGATTATTTACAAACATTATACAACGTAATTTATGTTAATAAAAATATTAATAATAGTAAGGTTGATAATAATAATAATGGTAAGAGTCGTATTAATACTAGCCGTACAAGACAACAGAAAAATCGACATTCATCAACTAAAAACGAATACAAAATGCTTAATTTTAGATGGTGAATGGTAAACGCATCGTTTGTTTGCACGTGCGAAAAAATAAAAATATTTTGTGAAAACATGTGATGCATATACTTAAATAATTTGGTGCTGTGTGCGATTGGTTAAAAAAAAAACGCTTGAAATCAGTTTCTCACTAAAACTAGCACGCGAGGATGGTGCGGATATAATTTAACCTCATAGAAGTATCTTCTAAAACTATTCTCTGGTATCTAAGTACTAGAAAACTAATAAACGGATAAGTGTTATGCCGAATAAATGTATCTAACGAATACTGCTAATGACATATTACTTCCTTCTACAATCGCGTTGACAAAATGTCTATCGACTATCTTAAATAGTATCTAATTATGGAAAAAATTCTGTCCAATTGTGGATGAATCTACGCTGTGGAAGAATAAACGGAAGTTATTAGGATTGTGATGTTGTTAGCGATAAATAGATATAACGCGCTCTTATTGCAACGCATTGCGATAATTTTTGTTTCTTCTTAATGTTGAGTGCTCAATCCGTCTCTTAAGATAGCTAATACTACAGAATATTCCTACTGCTTCTTTTTATATCCACATATGTATATTGACTACGAATGGTCAACTTAAGTCTACTAATAAATTAATAGATATAAATATTACACGTGTTTTATAAGTCAAACAAGAACTAACAATCTTGAATCTATACTACAAGTATCTCGAGGACACTTTGGTCACTATACACAGTTTCAGGATTTGTGTTAATCTTACTATCTCGTATATGACTTATAGAACTTGTACCGATCTCTATCTATAGAAAGAAAATTCACTTTGAATGATTAATTCTCGTAATAAAGCATCTAAATTGCAAATATATGCTCTATATGCTCTATACATGCTCTAACGATAAACCTTTGGAAGTAATGAATGATTCCTGGTGAAGGTACACAGTGTTTAAGTATTGAGTACTCATTAAGCGTTTGAAAGACATCTTAACATTTTACTTTAGGTTTCTATTATGTCCTTTAAACATCTATTGGTATTTCGTATGTCATTTCAGTAATCTCAATATCAGACTATATGCAAAAGTGATGTAACGAAAAAGAAATAGCGTGCGTGCAAAAGCCATGTGAAATTCGACAGATTTTCTAACAAAGACAAAAAAAATTATTGCGCGCATTTTCGAAGACAATTTTCCAGATCTATACATGTAATTGCATTCGACCGTAAAGGCCATATTATCTAATATCTCATGAGAATAACTATCGATCGCGTCTAAGATTAAACGTTGTGCTCGTAAATTTCACACGGTGGACGTTTGCTGGTTGTTGTTATCTAGCGGAATGCTCGTGGAACATTCCTTTAGCATTGCACGTAATCGTAGGATCTCCTTGGACGCCGTCGCCAAATCGGATTCTAGTTGTAATTCTTTTTCTCGACGTCGTTTCAATTCACGTTGACATGTCTACAAAACAAATTGCATTTCTTTATGACCGCAAGTGTTTGGAATTTCAGTATAAAAAAATTTTAATTTAATTTATTTCTTACTTACCACATTTTGCCGCAGTAAATCCAATTTGTCGCACTTGAGTCTAGTGACCTCCATCCTTAAGTTTTCGTTTTCCACGATCCCGTCTTTACTGGTACATCTTGCGGTATCGTGAGTCTCCGCGGAACTCATAGATTCGAGGCCCGTGTCACTATCGGGATATACGGCCTGATCGAGTTCGAGTTCGCTATTGAGCGAACTATCATCGCTCTCTGAAATCACTCGCTGCGTCATCTCCGTTGTTGTTTTCTCCTGCGTGCGCAGATTCTCGTGTGTTAGTTGTTGCATCATTGTCGATGTTGGCGCCGGGGATTTATCGATGACAGAAGTATCATTGAGGCAGATGACACTCGCGCCTTGCGATTCTCTACGATCATATTCGTCTTGTTGCAACGTTATTAGGCTACTATCTTGATTGTCAGTGTTGGATAGGCTGCTGTCTTGGCTACCAAGACTACCACGCTCCGAGTCTCTTCTCAAAGTCAGATCCGGCGAGCCGAGGGGACTGGACGGTTCCACCGAACGCTTGCTGCCGCTCACCTGAATAGTTGTTACAGACATCAATTTATTTAATCTAATTTTATAATAATTTATAATCCACAATTAAAAATTTTATAGTTTAGCTTATATTTATACTTTGTATTCTGTATATTTAGTTTTATCGTTTTGCATTTATTTTTTTTTTTTACGTAGTAAAATCAGTTACTAAAAGAAAACTTTATTCTGTACATTGTATATATCAAGAATATTTATTACGTTATATAGTATACAATACATACTGTAATAAATATTGTCAACTACTCTTATTCATTTACCTTTGCAACAGTCGATTGTCGATTACTTGGAGGACTGGACTCTGTCTGTTGACCTTTCTTAGCTAACTGTTGCGGCACGCTTTCCGTTGATGCGTTCCTCACACGGGAGATCAGTGCTTTCCGAACCGTGTCGATGAATCGCGAGCCACTGCCACTACTTCCTGAAGTGGATACATCATTTGTCGTTGGACTTACTGGACAAACGCTTAAGCCAGAACTTCCTAGGCCAAGTGGACCACCAAGAAATTCTGCCGTTTTAGTTTGCAGTTCTTCCGTTAGAGATTCTAACAAGGCCGATCTAGTCCGTAGCTGAAAATCATACAATTATTTTGTCTTTTTTCGTAATATTTTTCAAAAATTATCATAGTAATCTATTGAATATCCATTACGGGGATATTCGAGTTTTCTCATTTTTGCAATATGAAAAAGAAAAGAAATGAGATAAAACAAAGAGATTTACCTCTAACTTGGAAAATTTCTCGGCTTTATAAGCGGCGTTCTCGGCGTTTACGAGTTTCGTGAGCAGAAACTCTTTAAATTCGACACCTCTGAGAAAAACAGCTGGAGTCGGTAGAGTAGGTCCAAACCAAGGAACATCATCACGCGCTGTCACACTGACTTTGTACCTTAAAGTTTAATGCCTCTGTTATTCGTTGTTTCTCGTGTTAATCAACAGCGATAGTTTTCACAATCGCGTCGAGAGATATTAAAATAAATAATGAATTCTGTTAGGTTTTAGCTTCGCGGAGCAAACAGCGTATAAACGGAAAGTAACTAAGAATCTAAGAATATACCTTGTATTAGGAGTGCAGGGGTCGATGACTTGCACGACGATGAAGGCATGCAAGAAATGACTGGCGATCATGTCCGGGCTGAAGGGCGTTGGTTCCTCCTGAAATATGATGGCAACGATGTCATTGCCGATGTGTCGTTTGCGCTGTAATTGCTGCGAATCGCCTGGACTATACGGCAATAATGAGGCCACATGGAACAATACTTCCCGACCCCGAAACACTTCATATACCGCCGAATCGCCAGTTTGGCCGTGTCGAGTATCCAACCCACCGCGATAACTATAACGCAATCAATTAGAAAATAATATAAAGAGTAAAATAAAGTAAATGTTAGGTGTAGTAAAAAGAAATCCATTATTTTTGCATGTCATCTAATGGAAAAATAATGGATTTCTTTTTACTACACCTAATATTAACTAAGAATAAAGGAGAGAGGAGGGGGGAAGAGAGACAATTACAATTTTCTACTAATCAATCTTTGATAATTTTATAATTTTATATACCTAATTTATGAAATTATTTTTTATTAAAATTTATGCAAAAATGTATCGATAGATACGTGCATTATATAAATCATGTATTAAAAAGAATTTTAACATAAGCTCTTTGAAGGTAAATAATATTATATTAATTCTTTAATCTTTAAGGCACGAACTTTTTTAAAACATATTTTGCTGATTCTTAATATATATACAGGTTGCAATCGTTGATTGCAAATCTGAAGTCGAAATTTAAAAAGTCAAAATGAATACAAATCCAATGTTAAAAAAACTTTATTACGATTTATACATAATTAAAATTTTATAAGGATTTCTTTAGATTTTTAATTTCAAATTTGCAATAAACATTTAACAATTCAAAATAATGGATCTAATATCAAGAAAATTTTTATTACTTTTTAACAAAAAGTATCGCTGATGCAAAAAGACAGGTGTAATGTATATAAGACATACAGCAAAGAATTAAGAAACCTTACCCCTTGTGATCCTTGAGATCGATTTTCTGACCAAGCAAATCGAGAAACTCCTGAAAGGCCGGGGTGATCTGCCGATTGCCGAAGAGTTGTTCCTCGGTGAGTTGACCGGCTCGCTGATGAAGAACACCAAACTTAAACCTGGAGACCAAGGCGTGCTCGTCGTACCGTGCTATCAAGGTACCGGCGCCGGGGCACATGACCGGTATCAGAGGGCTCACGTTTAGAGACTCATTGATAGCCTGTAAAAAAATATTTCTGATGATAAGGCGCGAGAACACGTAATCGATGTATAATTACGAAAAAGCGAGGCAAGGTCTTTCCTGTGTTTTATCACACTAGCGTGCCTCCTTATCTTTCTCCTTTCCTCTCTCTTTCTCTCACTTCCTGCCATACGATCGCGCACGTAACAGCCGAGAAAGATAAAGCATGCACACACGATGAATGTTAAATTATTCAGCGCATTTATGCGTTTTTACGCGCATAGGAATACACCGGTAGAATATAGGATCCAAGGCCGGATATAGCATTTCCATCGCCCGAAGATAACGAATTTTGAACAGTAGTTGCTCTATGAAATGTTTTATTCATTTTTTGAAAGCGCTCGAGTTTTCCATCAATACATACATATTTCTGTAGTTTTGCATGATCCCAAATGTTTTATAGCCAGAAATGATACAAGATGTAGATATAAAAAAAAGAAAAAATAAAAAGTAAATTTTATATTTTGTATTGTATACTACTACATATTCGCGATCGATTAAAAAAAAAACACGTTTTCTCAAATGACTAATAATAATAATTATTATTTATTTATTTCAATTGATAAAGCTTCATATATATTCGGATAGAGATTTATATAGATTTGTATAAATTCGAGAATTTTTAAACCTGTCTGATGATTTTATTATGACATTCAATGTTTTTTTTTTTGTGGAAGTGCGCCAATGTGCAGGGCCGCTGTAAACAAGTGTGCAAATTGTGCACTGCGCAATAGGACATGGACAGTAAATTCAATTTTAAAAAAATCAATCCTGTAACACTAATTGCGCATGCTGTTAAATTTAATTTCTTCTGAAACGTGTACTGCATATAAATTTCGTATCATAAAATTTGAAATCATTAATCGGATCGAATAGTTATTTCTCGATACTATTAATATCTTTCAGTCATATAAAGCTATACCAAGTTTTAATACGAATAGTAGGATACTGATCATGTAACATTTTTTCTAAAGTGAAAACGTGAAAAATGAAAAAATCGTTCCATTAACTTCATTTTTCATATTTCCGCTTCAAGAAAAAATTACAATATCCCAGAAATAAAAAATTGCGCTCTTTCTAAAATTATTTAAAAAATTATTTTAAAAAGTAACTTATTTAAAATTGATAAATAAAAATATTAAGAAGGGCAGTAAAGTCCCCATAAAGCGCCTTATATTTCAAGCTCAGCAAATGTGTAAAACAAGAAAAAAATGCTATTACATAGCTATTACGTAACTCAACTAATTGTAAGTACAATTAATAATTCAAACGCGCGATGAGTCCGCTTTTCGAGAAATTGCGGAGCAATTGTTTGATCTTAAAACAAAACTTCGAAAAACTGGGTCTGTAAGCGTTTCAATTTGCTTGTATTAATATCATTCTCCGTAAACACAACGTGACTGTTGTCTCAGGCGTTTCTTATTATCTCTTCAAACACACAGGTAATCGAGTATGCCTGTCTCGAGTGCGCCAGTATAAGTGGCGTCTCCAATACATAAACAACGCATGATAAATTGCACAATAGCTCAAAGAAAACTAAGTATTTTCACGTGGCAGGTTTAAAAAATGGAACGTAGCGTCCCGTTGAAAGAATTCACCTGGATTGATTTTAAAATATATCGAACTATTTTACGAATTACGCAAATATGCAAATAAATAATTTTAAACCAAAATTTTATATTTTGATCCAATGTTGAACAGTGAAATTTTTGAATTAATATTGTTGTGAGGAGTTTCTCAGAGTCTTTCTCACGCGCTTTTTACGTAAGAAACGCGTTTCGATGTTTCTCCTTGCGTTTTAATCTAAATTTTATTCATTTAATGTAATTCACGCCAACTAGAAAGAATTATTACCAGAAGTGAATGTCTTTACCTTGACCATTTTCCTCGGTGTAGGATTCGAGTTGAGATTCGTAGTTGGAACCAGGTCATGTGTCGATCCTGCTCGAAGTCGCAGTAACACCCGCCAGTGTTCTTGTCCGGCGACCGTCTCGGCCTTCACCGAGACCAAAACCGGACCGTTCTCATTGTCCCTTCCCACGAGATTCACGTGTTCCTGCGAAAAAAAAGAGACGTTAAAACGACATGTTTCATAGTTGTACAGGCTAATGATATGTAATAATAATAATTAGTCATGTTTTCTAGTTCCTTCGCGCAAATCGTTTTTCGCACATCGTTTTTTCAAGAATTTATCAAAAAACTAGGAAAATCATAAATAACACGAGCAATATTCAAGGATGGGTGGAAAAAAACTGGATTGATCGAAAAAAAACTTAATCTTTTGTCCGCGATAATTTTCCTCCGATGCAAGCCTGTTGAGAAATTCATCAAGATCATCGAGACTCTAGTTTTCGAATGTAAACACAAAAAAGAAATATAATAGAAAAAATATTTCCAGAAAGTAGTGACAAATTTAATAAAAAGATGAATTGTTAAGTGTTTTTAAGTAACTTGTTATAAACGTTTGTTAAGTAACTCGTGTTCGGCGATATTTTTTTAACGCGTTAGTTTTTGATATAAATGTTGAATCCCTTGAAAAAGTCATAAATTTTTTAATTCTGTTGAATTTTTTTACAATAAATGTTTAAAATAGCGCCTTTCAATATCATTCTTCTATACAACCATCAACAACGTTTAAATAAAATCGATGTCTAATATTTTAAAGAAACGTCACTAAACATGCATTTTATAACAATTAAAGTTATTTAATTTTATGAGATCTTTTAATAATATTTTATGTTTGTCGCTATACTTTCCGGAAACATTCTGGATATACGTCGGATACAAAAAGCGTTAGTTGACGGATGTGTTAATACCGCGGGATGTAACCGGCGTGGCAATGTGCGTGCGTTAGAACAATTACGGTAGTTCACGCGTTCCGGATTCAATTAGTTGTTACGAAATTGTCGTAAGTAAAATAGTATGTATACACGAGCGATACGACCCTGAGCGCACTGTGTTACGCAGCAATGTGTCCGTACGCTTTTGCAAACTGCAGTTAGTGCGTTTTGTCCCACGTATGTATATTATACATGATGTCCCTCGCGCGAGGCTTCGTATTGAGGACAATATATTACGCAAACGGTCTTTGGCGAGTTTATTAGCAGGTTTGTTCGATTAACAACTTTTCGTCGCATCCTCATTTCGAACGTATGTTCGAGAAGTGAAAAAGAATAAATTCACAGTTTTTCCTTTTTTATACATATATATCCTCGTCGTAAAAGTAAGTTGCACGAATAATCGCAGAATATTCCAAGCATCTATCATTATCAAAGTTACTTAAGAGACTTTTCATTATACACTATAAAAACCGCATGATATCTTAGATAGTAAATAAAAAAATGTACAAAATTTAAAATTTAGAAAAGGAAATTTTTATGTATAGAAAAATATGAACTGGTCAAAATGGGAAACATTCTTCTTACTTTGTAGGTTTGTCAACAAAAATTGATCAACAAAAGTTGCGAAAATTTTCAGCTTTCTAACGTGAAAGCTTAAAATTTTCCTTACAATCATTTTTTAAAAATGTTCGTAAGATTATTGAATTATTAAATTAATTAAGCGGATTAAATAAAAAGAACATTATGACTTTCATTTTCATAATTCCATTAAAAGTCATCGTACTGCAAAACAGAACAGCTTAAAGTTAAAATTTTGCTCGATCAAGTGGTATAATTGTCAATTTTTTTTTAATGTAGATATAAAAGCAGTAGCGCTACAAAAAAGCTTTTGTTCCAATTCAATATTATACAAAAAATGTTGACTTCAATTATCCGATTTTTTATTTAATTCATGGACAACAATCGCATGACGAATTCGCACGTGCTCGCGAGACTTCTCAACACGAGGGAAAGGACAATCCTCGGACTTTCTTATGTTTCTCGGGTTTTTTAAGTTAGCTGCGAGCAATGAGCGTTTTATTAAAGTTGCACAATAGTCGGCAGAGTAACAACGGCGAATAAAAACGGTGCATCATCGTTGACGGTGCGTTTGCATGCGAGCAAAAATGCCGAGAGAGGTTTAGAGAGCCGCATGGAAGGTCGGGTCGCATGCAGAATGTGGTGTACGATGAAATGCATGCACACACCATTCCCTTCCCCTCCGGTGTTTTACTAACCTTCAGATGGAAATAGTGGAGGGAGTTAGAAAGGGCAACGTGCCCGGAGTTCACAGGAGTTCATGCCATCGAGATATTGTACATACGTTTATTACTACCATTGTCATTATTGTAATAATACACTTGTGTGTTATTATTGTAATAATGCATACAACGGAGTGATTTTATTAAATTATTAAATATAATAAACATTATGTACGTTAACTGATCTAGCGTAGATTTCGATGAGATTAATTGCAAATTGAAATTAAGGTTAATAAAATTAATAACTTTATATAAAATTAAGAATGTTATTCTCTTAAATATTATAATCCTTATCCAAATTTTATGTTTCATTCTCGAAATTTCCATTTCCATAATTCAAGCTTATATTTTCCATTCTTTCTACCTTTTATAGAAAAACTTAATTTTTATTTGTATCTAATATTTTCTTCTCCTTCATAAATATTATTATGACTGATCACAATCATTCCTTCCACTTAATAATCTATAGTCCGTCCCTGACCAATTATTATTTTTTTTTAGAATTTTTAATAATTTAATTTATAAAACA